TCTCTCTCCTCTCTCTGTCTCTCTCTTCTCTCTTCTCTCTCCCTCTCTCTCTCTCTCTCTCTCTCTCTCTCTCTCTCTCTCTCACACACAAATCAATGCCGCCTCCCCCTCGCAGCGCTCAAAAAAAAGAAGGATTTTTTTTTTTTTTGAACTTCATGATATGTATTTATTGTCCAACCAATACATATCACCCGCTGGTGCAAAATCCAAATACAAGTGTAAAAATACACGTAAATTGGCAGCACATGGGGAGCCGTGCGAGCCGTAGGAAAAGTAAAATGTTTCAAAACACTAAGGCATATCCAAATCAACAAAAGCAGACAAGATACAATCAGGAGCTGGAGACAAAACTAACTCATAACCAAGACAGTTTGACCAAATGCGGTTAAGTGCACGAAGAACAAGAACCCACTGGGAAAAAGCAGGGGAAGGATAAAAAGGCCGTGGTGAAAGCATATCAATTGCAATGTCAAGAGGTAGGCGGGGATCATCAGGTGGGCCTAGATCAAAACTAGCAGACAAACTAGCACGCAAATGTAGACACACAGAGACATGGGCACGCGACACTTCAGGGGCATCATGACAGTTCCTACAATAAGGTCGGGGGTTTGGAAACAGGCGGCCAAGCCGATATAGCAGGAACAAACGAAGACATACTGTTGGGAGATGTTGGTGTGGGGGTAGCAACAAAGGGTGGCGAAGTTTCAAATTGCGGACAGGGGCAAACGAAACTGCAATTGGTCCATTATGTGCAACAGCTAAAGACTGAAAATGCAACATCAACGGATGAAGTGGGGGCACAACAGGCATAGGAACAATGAGATCATTGTGACAAGCGGAAAAATAAGGAGATGAACCATAACCAACTGGAGATGACCGATAGAATTGCAACACAGCAGCTGGTAACAGAGGGCTGGAATCACTAGACCAGCGAGCAAACATACGTGCCTGAAGGTACTTCAGCCTGAACTCAAAAGTAGGAATTTGCGCTAACAGCAACAAACCAACACGCGAAGTGGTATGGGCTATCGAAAACAGACGACACAGTGCATGATAACAAAAACGCCCGAGTACCTGAAGCTGAGCAGTGGAAGGCCGAATAAGTGCTAAACCAAACTCAAGTGAAGGTCTAATAAAAGACAAAAACAACAACCTGGCAACACGAGGAGCAGACCCACCAAAGTACGAGACATAAGGTGCAAAAAGATACAATGAGGCACGAGCTTTCTCTAAGCGATGATCAATAGTTGCAGCAAGATCAAACCCTTCAATAGTAAAATAGTGACCAAGGTATCTAAATGAAACCTCTACAGGGAGGGCAGAGCCATGAAGCTTCAAGGGGGTGGGTAACCGTTGAGAAGATAATACAGCACACTTTGAAGGTGAAAACACAAAATGAGAAGCTAAAGCAAAATCTTCACAAATTTTCAATGCACGTTGGGCCTGCTCAGGGGTGGCAGAAAACAAAGCTATGTCATCAGCAAAAAACAACGAATTGAAAACAGGAGTGTTATAAGAAAACCTAGCAAGATGAGAAGATTCACGACGAAGGAGCTGTGCTAAAGGATTGATGAAAACTGAGTACAAGAACGGAGACAAAACAGAACCTTGAAAAAGACCTTGTGGAAGCGAAAACAAATCAGAAGAACGATTCTCTATAACAACCTGAGAAGAACAACAATCAAACATACTCATCAAAACAGAGATCAAACGGTTTGGAATTCTGGGAAATTGACGAAGACGTTCCCACAAAAGAGGCCTATGCACAGTATCATACGCTGCTTTAATATCTAAGAAAGTAACACAATAAGGCAGAGCAGTGCGGGAAGCCCGTCGAAGGGTAGCATCTAATGCAAAAACACACTCAACACCTGAACGATTGGCCTGGAAACCAGCTTGGGCGGGATCAAGTTTACCAACATGAGCTACAAGCATAGGAAGCAGGGTACGCTCAAAGATTTTTCTATCAACATTGGTTAAAGTAATGGGGCGGTACTGACTAATATCACCAATGGAGCCCTTATTCTTCCAAACAGGTAACAACAAGCCAGCATTCCAGGCAGAGGGCGACAAACCTGAACGGAAAATAGCGTTTGAAAGTTGAACAAAAAGGATAGCAACATCAGAAGCTAACGGCTTAAATAACTCAGCTGGAATATGGTTTGAGCCAGGAGCAGAGTTGTTTGGGGAAGAACGAATAGCACAAACAAAGTCACTAACACTAACTGACACAGAATCATTCAGCGCATGTAGACGAACGTGTTCTGCACTGGCAGAGGATTGTGCAAACTGAGTCTGATAAACGGAGGCAAAGTGATTGCGATAATGAGATAAAGAGGCAGGATCAGACAATAAACCACTTGCAGCTGAGCGCCGTTGATGACACCTACGCGCGGTGGAAAGAACTTTGCTAACCTCGGTTAAAGAACTAGGAGAAGAACTAAACATATTGTCGCCAGAAGCCTCTCGAGCTCGCTGAGAAAGAGACCAAGTACGAAAAGCTTTGACACGCTCACGCGATAGCCGGTCACGCTCCAAGCGGCAATACTCAACTAAACCAGGATCAGGATCATCACAGGAAGAAACAGCTAAATAGTGCTTATGAGCAAGTAAGTAGCTCCGTCGCAAGGCCACTAAATGCGGCGGCAACAATGGCAGGGCAGGGCGACGGCGAACTAAACTGGGGGGTCCAATGACACAAGCAGCACATGAAGTAACAAAGGACAAAATAATATCCAATGCAGAGTCAATACATCCCTGTGCAACATCCACAGACATTTGGGCAAAGGCGGGAGCTTCTAAAATTGGACTGAGTGCAGCATTGACATCAGCAAGGGTGGGATCAAAAAACAAATGTCCCACATCCTCCATTGCTTGAAAGACAGCAGGTTCACGCAACAGATGAGCAGCCCAGCGCTTGTGGGGGGGTGCAGCAGAGGGAGCGCTGGCATTGGGAGGAGCAAAAGAAAAAACAGCTGTAACCGGAAAATGGTCAGAAGCCCAAGGCATAAACTCGCCGTCGGCTAGACAACTATGAACTATGTAAGAAATAGGATCACATTGAAGCAGAGGATTGACAAACAACAAATCGATAATGGAGTCACCATTGCGAGAAGAAAATGTGGGGTTATGACAGGAAGGGTGCTTAACTAGAGAGAAACTAGCGGCAGAAATAAATTGCTCAAACAACCTACCCCTACGATTTGAAGAATGATCACCAGTAGCTAAAAAACGGGCATTGAAATCGCCCAACAAAAGAACAGGGCACGGAGACGACGGGACATGTTGAGGAAGTGAAGCAATAAACTCTTCAAGGAAGGGGTCCTGAGCAATACCACACGGAGGCAAATAATACCCTCCAACCAAAAGCCCACGAAATGTAAACCATAGAGAGGTGCCACCATAACTAGAAACGAGACGGAAATCAGAAGCTCTACAAAGACTGCGATTGATCAAGACTCCCACACCAGCCCGTCGTGTACCCGATGACCCAGGAGAAAAACGAGTGTCAAAAATCAAATCTGGAGAAGGCAGCGGGTCTTCTAACATGACCGAAAACCGCCGATCTGAATAAGTTGTGCACAAAAGGAAGTGTGCGTTTCAATCAGCGCGCGGTTCCATAGTGTAGTGGTTTATCACATTGGACTTTGAATCCATTGACCCGAGTTCGAATCTCGGTGGGACCTCTTACAGGTTGAGTTTTTCTAATAAGGGTTTGTATTTCTTGTTGACTTCACGTGATAAAAGAAGAGCAGGGATGTCGAGCACCGAGCCCGATCAAGTGATGGAATGGATAATAGAGAAGCGATGTGGCATATCAAGTGATGGAAGAAGAACTTCATTCGCAGACTGCTTTCTAGTAAAGTGAGGAGACTGGTATCCTCAGTTCTGATTGCATAAGTGAGAAAATCCTGATGCCAAACTTTCGGGTACACGTCAAAGTTTGCTGGAACCTTGTTTCCGCAGGCAATTGTCCAAGAATACGATATGGCCCCTCTGCACCTTTGTAGCATTCTCTTTCCTGAGTGTTGCAAAAGAAGCTAGTATGAATTTCCCTCTTATCATGTGGCCTTTCATCAATTGAACTCCCATCACACTGAATTGATGATGTGTGTTCTTCTCCTTTGACACAGCTACAAGGTTCGGCGGGTCCGGGTTGGGTCCGGGTCGGGTCTGGGTTTGGGTCCGGGTTGGGTCCGGCTCGGGCCCAGGTTAGAGAGTCAACCTGAAAAAACCCAAATGTCAGGTCGTGTATGTCCGGGGACCCTCCAGGTCACTGCAGGTAGCAATGCCAAACCCGGACCTGCAGTTATCAAAACCTGTACCAGACCCTGACCCTGTCCGTTCTGGGTTTTAACTTGAACTAGAAGAAGGTAAAATGAAATCTCGGCTGTGTCTTCTTGGAAAGTGTCTGTGTGGACAGAAAGTGCAGCAGAAAGTGCAGCTCTCGTGGTCTGTTGTGGATAGAAAACGTTTGTTACAAACCCTCGATTGTCATCTTGGAAAGTGTCCGCGTGGCCAGAAAATACAAATGGCTTCCTTCTATCTTTTCTTATGAGATCGGGTTTTACATGGGTCTAAAGCTTGACCCGATAAGGGATTTGCTTCTGGACCCGATACCTGAACCGGATCCAACCCAAAAAACTTTCCTGAAAACCCGCCTAGCGGATCGGGTACATTTTGTCAATTAACCCAAACCTGACCCGGAAGACCCAAAAACCTGCTGATCCTTAGTGGTAACAACATAGAAGACACGTACGTACGCGTTTCCACCATCATAAATACATATTACTCTTCCTGAGTAAATGAATGTTATCGACAGGGTCTCTCCGCATCCCACATTGAGAAACTCTGTAACATCTCCAGCCTGGCTGTTATGTTGTAGTGTGGTATGTGTAGGGTTCTTGAAGTGAATGTAGCAGTAAAGTCCCATAATGTACAGAATCCAAAAATCTGCAGCACCTTGGCATGACTGGCAGTTCGGCAGAAATGTGGACTGGAGAGTAGGAGAGTGGATGGAGACAATCCCCCAAGTCTTGGCGTCAGAGTAACTAACCCTAGTGGTTTGAGTTTATTATTTCATCATTCTGGGAGTGTTGGAGTTGGTAGGGCCTTTCTTCATTAGTGTCTTTTTCTGAGCGAGAGTGTACCATTTGTTTTGGGGGTACTTGTTTGGGTTTATTTCTTATTAAATTGAACAGTTAGATAGTTAATATTTAATCTATTTTGGTGAAATTGAAAGCACAAATATTTATTTTGAACACTTTTTGAGCTGCTTCATGTTATGTTTAATGACTTGACACCAAGATATTGCTTCCTTTGTATGGTTAAAAAGTACACCAGCATTATAGCTGTGATAACTGCCAATACAACAATGCTGACTTTCCATACATTGTCATAGAATGACATATAAACAATTAAGAAGCAGTTTAAAATCACTAAGAATATTCCTCTAAGTATGCCTCCAATATTCTGTAGCAGTTGTAAGAGCTGAGATGAAGAGTTAGTCATCAGCAGCCTTGTTGATGTTATAACTTGTACAATGCCTATTAAACTATATAGACACATTGAAGATGAAATTGTCAAGTACAGAAGTTGATTGTACAACTTAAAGCTTGTATCTACTGAGAGACTATCATTTGTTAGCATTGCAATATTGAGGAAAACTGAAGCCCCTATAGCAACTAAATAGCAACGATTTGGTGGCTTTCCTGCTTTATCATGCTCCCAACATGTTATCGAAAAGAAGCTTGGAAAGAGCCCAATCCATGATAGAGACCACATCAATTGTCCTGCAGCAATAACAAGTCCAACAAGATTAAACAGCGCTGGAATAATCAATATGACATTAACAACTATAGTTACTCCACTTGTATTTCCATAAACTGTTTGCAGCAGCAGCTCTACCGGAACCAAAGCATTTGCAATTTGTTCAGCACCAGGAGGTACTCCAACATTTGTAAAACACAATAATATAGCTGTAGCTGCTAGTGTACCTAAGGCACTGTACATGCCAAGTTTGACATTCCTCTTTGGATCTGCCAATTGCTGACTAACAGATTGAGCCCATTCAATACCTGTAAACCACCATAATGCAGGAACAATGCTAAGTATGACTCCATGAAATCCGTTCGGAAACCATCTTTCATGAATACTCTGTTGCAGTTGGTCTGAACTTGAACCTAACAGCAGCTCCCATCGAAAATAGAATGCTCCAAAAATTCCACAACTCAATATGACTCCCCAAGAAATAATTCCACCAATTAAAACTGTGTACCACATAGATTTCTCAATATACATCATCACAACTATTAGAGAGCCAGAGAGAATTGCTATATGAACAGCTTGCATATAAATGCTTGTTGAAAAAATATTCTTAGTATAAACTGAAAAAGAATTGATGATAAGGCTGATAAATGTAATCATTGCGATAATCTCGTAGAGTCCAACAAGAAATGGGAAAATGCTCCCTATTACATATTTTTATTTCGACATTTGAAGGTTAGGTTCAAAGACTGTCTATTTACCTAATTTGAGATGTATAACGTATCTTGAAAAACCTGAGTTTGGGTGTGGATTCAAAGATTGCATTTGAGCAAGTGATACGGCAATTGCTGTGTAGTTACATAATGCAATTAAGGTTGCTAGAAACAATCCACCAGTTCCTCCATTAAGGATTGCAATATTCCAGCCACTTTGTTGACCAGTAATAACTACACAAATAACCAATGCCCAAACATATACTGTTCCAACTCTCATTTCAGAAATTCTCCGTCGTTTTGCATATATCTGCTTTTGCTGCACAGTAGAAATACCTTTTGGGTAAAGATCTCTGTAGAATTGAGAGTGTAACCACAACAGTGCACCAGTATATTTATATTGTTGGGAAATGCTCTCAGCTTTCTCGTTTGTGTTGTCTTTATTATTGAATTTCATTGGCTGCAGCTGATTTGTTGTAAAATCAGCATGTCCATTCACATAACCCCACAGATTTGCAAAGAAACCTCTGTTAGCTTGTGTTTTAGCAGAAAGCTCTTTGACAAATTCTTGCAGCTGTAAAGAATACTGATGTGATAGAGGAGGAATCAACATCAACAGCTCCCATGTATTAGAAAAGTGGTTCTGGACGCGTAATATTGCAGATCGCATCACAAAAAAGTTTGCCACCATAAAAATGGCTGCAACAATCCAGACTCCTATAAATATTCCAAACATATATGTGATATAATTGTTGAGCTGCACTATTAGCAATTGCTGTAAAGTCCACAATCCGTCTAATAAGTCCTGAATCCCAACATCATCTAAGTACTTCAGCAGCATCATAAACATATCCTCATGGTGTATATAATGTCTGGACACTTCTTCTGCATTAAAGATTACATCATTAAGAAGATAAATCAACCCATTTGTTGTGGCAACATGAGGTCTATAAGCATCGCCACCCATTGCATTTCTTATATCACAGATGGTAGAATTCCATGCATAACAGCTCTGGTTTAAGAAATCAGAAATAGGATCAAAAGTGGAGACAAAGTAATCGTCAATGAGTATCAATTTTGTTTGTGTTACTTCATCAATTTGATTTAATAAAATTGATGCTGCTTCATCTCTTGAATAGTAGTTGTGTGGATCAGCAATCCATGTTTCATAAATCATATAAAGGATCGAAGATACTTCAACATTTAATCTATCAAGCTTTTGAACATGATCAATTCCAGCATGCAAGTTTGAATGCAGAATTCCTACTATACACAATAACGCAACCTTAGTTGATATCAATAAAGTTGTTAGTCCAAATAACTTCTTTTGCTCTTTAGAAATTTGGTTTTCAACAACTTCTTTCTCATTTGCCACAGGTGGCTCAGAGCCACTGGTAGTCAAGACTGGTGCAACTAGTTTACGATCTAGCACTGCTGTCCCCAGAGTCTCTTGTCCTGTTTTGTTATTAACTTGCTCTTCGGCATTGAGATTCTTAGATTGTTTTTGTTCATCTTGTTTTTTCTCTTCTTCAGATATATCTGGCTGAGCTTCCGCATATTCAGACAGGAAACCGGAGGCCTTTTGTGTATTTAATATAATGGTTTGTAGCATTTGTGGTGAAAGACAAAGAAATACATTAAGTGCCAGTCTCTGCTGCTTCAATAAATCATTCAGCCCAGTTTTTGCAAAAGAGATAATATATACAACTAGCCCACAAATAGTTCCAATTATGAATATGTACAGTGCTGAAAGAAGATCCGCCCATGTGAGCAGCCTGAAACTTGAATAGTCTTCAAAACTGTCTTTGACAGACAGAGCAAAATCAGAATCCTTGCCTTTGGGAAGGTTATCCAATATTGCATATTGTGATTGTTCGACAATGGTCAGATAGCCTGTTTGATTTCTTAGCGTTTGTAAGCTTTTAATTGCACTATTCCCAAGGTCTGACAGTCCAGCTCCATTCTCTGCAAAATTTGCCAAAGCCAACACAAGTGGAAATCCAATACTTTCTGCAGATGCTAGATCTTGACCACCCGAAAAGTTCCTCACTTTAACATCCACTTCTCTACTGAGTATTTTTATCAGTTCAGGGACTCCAAGTGCGCTTTGCCAGATACTTGAGATTGCTTGCAATGTCATTTCACTTGATTGAGCTAGAAAATTTCTATATCTCTCAAATTCGTATTGATTATTTGTGAGTGTTTCA